CTTACCACTGCACACATGGCTTGTGACTTATCCATCCACTCCTTAAGGGAGGGGATTTCAGGATCTTTGGTGGGTAGTTCTGGCATGGGGTTGAATTCTTGGCCCATGGCTACCTGGAATGGGGCAAACCCCGTGCTCCTATGGACTGAGTTATTTAAGCATCTTAAACATTGTTCTAATATGCTGTTAACTCCATTGAGCCATTCGTTTCAGGGTGACTTGATGACGACAACCCTGGGTGGAGCCTAATAGGTTTAAAACCTCCTGCCAAAATTTGGATGTGAACTGAACACCCCTATCTGAGATAATCCATTGGGGAGCTCCATGAAGGCGATAGATGTGTATTCGAAACATCTTTGCCAATGCCTTGGCAGTTGGGATTTTTTGGCATGGAATAAAGTGAACCTATTTGGAAAATAGATCAGTTACAACCCAAATGACAGTATTTCCAGCACTTTTGGGAAGCTCCACTATAAAGTCCATAGAGATCTCTTTCCAGGGTGCAGAAGGGTCTGCTACTGTTTGTAAAAGTTCAGGATATTTTCCTTGTCTTCTCTTTGTAGCAGCACAGGTGGGGCAGCTCGCAACATAATTTTCAATGTCCTTTTTGAGGGATGGCCACCAAAATTTACTTTTGATGAGGTGCAGGGTTTTTACAAACCCAAAGTGTCCCACTATTTTGGGGTCATGGCAACGTTTCATGAGGTCGATTCTCTGGCTTGCAGGGACATAAAATTTGTTTTCTATCCAAGCCAGTACATCTTTGAGTAAACAAGCATTTTTGTTAGCCTGGAGCCAGTCGTCCTTAAGTAGTGCCTCCTTAAATATTGACGTCATTGTATCCTCAGTCAATGATGATTTTTTTTCTCTTGTGCCCGGGTGATTCCTCTGGCTGCTAGTTGGGTCAGTTGGATCATTGGTTTTATAACCTCAATCTTTTTCCTGTTGTATTGGGTTTTTCTGGACAGGGCATCTGCTAAGAAGTTCTTTCTCCCAGGAAAATATTTGAGAGTGAAATTAAAACGTTTAAAAGTATTGAGCCCACCTTGCTTGTTTTTCAGAGAGTTTCCGTGGATTTCTCAGGTCTTCCAGATTTTGGTGATCAGTCCATACTTCAAAAGGGATTTGGTTTACTTCCAGGAACTGTCTCCATGTGAGCATTGCCCACCGCACAGCATATGCCTCTTTCTCCCATATCGCCCATCTTTGCTCGGTTTCCGTCAGTTTCTTCGATGTATAAGGCTCATGGTTGTAATTGTCCACTTCCATTCTTTTGGAGTAGGATAGCTCTAACTGAACATCACTAGCATCTACTTGGATGAGTTGTTCAGGATCTGGGTTCTTAAGGACCAGTTCTGCTGAGAATAGATGTTTGAGTTTTTCGAATACTGCTTGGCATTCCATTGTCCAGATAAGGGGTTGCCTTGGTTTGGGTTTCGCCCCCCCCCCCTCATTTTTAGCAAGTTTGTGATAGGGAGGGCGATGTTTGCACAAGCTGGAATGAATTGGCGATAAAAGTTCACAAACCCGAGGAAACTTTGCAGTTGTTTGTGGGTGTGCGGTGGGTCCCAGTCCATTACAGCTTTTACTTTCTGCGCATCCATCTCTATTCCCTCGTAGGATATTCTGTACCCAAGTAGTTAATTTTTTCTTGGTGGAATTCGCATTTAGAGAGTTTTGCATATAGTTTAGCATCTAAGAGTTTTGTGAGGACTGCACAGAGTAGCTTGATGTGTTCTTCCATCCTTTCTGTGAAGATTAAAATATCATCAAGATACAGTAGAACCCCTTTATATAAAAATTCATGAAGGGTTTCATTGATCAATGGCATAAACACGGTAAGCGCTCCTTCCAGTCCAAAGGGGGGCACTTTAAATTGGTAGCATCACAATGGTGTGCTAAAAGCTGTCTTCCACTCATCTCCTTCCTTTATTCTTATGCAGTAATATGCCTCTCGTAGGTCTAACTTAGAAAAAAAAATCCTTTTGAGAGGTGGGCTAACATATCCTTCATGAGGGGGAGTGGATACATATGCTGTATGCAAATCATGTTTAATTTTTGGTAATTCACACACAGATGCTTGGAGCCATCTTTCTTTTCACGGAATAACACTGGGGCAGCTATTTTTGGTCGGACGGGTTCGATGAAACCCCTTTTAAAATTTTTGTCGATAAAATGCTCTGAGTACTTTTAGTTCTCTGGGAGACAAGCAGTACATTTTTGATTTGGGGAGTTTAGCCCCTGGTAGGATTTCGATAGCGCAGTCTGTGGCACGATGGGGTAGAAGTTCATCACAAGCTTCCTCGCTAAATACTTGGGCCAGATCCTGGTATTCATTGGTGATGTTAACGGGTTTAGCCAGCTGTCCGGTCATGGCTGACTCTCTGTTCTCTGTTCCTTTCTTTATCCTTTCCTCTGAGCTATTTGCAAATACTACGTCTCTCTGGAATTGTACGGTTCCTCTCCTCCAATTTATTTTTGGATTCCATTTCCGCAGCCATGTGAGACCTAGGACTAGCGGATCTTCCATTCCTGGGGCTACAATGAATGTGAGCATCTCACTATGGTTCCCTGATCTTATTTTCAATGGTTCTGTGGTAAACCTAGCTGGCTCCCCCCCCACATAGTTCCATCTAATTGGCAGAAAGCGATGGGATTTTCCATTTCTTTCAGTTGGATCCCCAATTTCTCTGCAAGGGAGGGATTTATTAGGCATCGGGTGGATCCCGAATCCAGCAATGTTGTAACTTCCTCCCCCTTCCCTCAGCTGGGGATAAACAGTCTTAGGGGTAGAGTGATTGGTTCAATTGGGTTGCTTACCAGCGGGTCATCTTCTGGATCACTTTGGGACTGGCTCAGGTCCCCCTCGGAGCATTGGGGGTTCTTCCTCTGGGTTGGGGGAATTGGAATCCCACAGCTACTCGGCCTCTCAGGACAGTCTCCTTTCCTTGAGGGCTGGATGTTCCAGGTTTCCCTCTGATGGGTGGTCTGGCTTTCTGGCAGGGGTTTCGAATGGCATTCTGCTGCGCGGTGTCCCTCCTTTCCACACTTAAAGCAACCAGACGTTCTTGGAGTCATGGTGGTTTGGGTTTCAAAATTTCCCATTTCCCCAGGAGTAGGAATCTTCCAAAACTGCCATACCGTCATGTCTATCTCTGCCTCCTCTGCCATCATGTACCATTCATGCAGGAGGTTTGGGGCCACACGGGCCAGGCAGGCAGCGTATAGGTTTCATTTAATCCATCTTTGAACCAACAGACTAGGATATCCTCTGGCCAGTTGACTCGGCCAGCCAGGTCATGAAATTCCTTGGTGTGTTCAACTACAGGGCGATGGCCTTGCTTTACAACTCTGATGTGGTCTTGGGCTTTTCTATCCATGAGAGGGTCTTCAAAGCGGTGGCGTAGAGCCATCATGAAGCGATCGAGGTTCCTTAATTCTGTGGCATTGACATTGTGGAGCATCACCATCCATCTGGCTGCTGCCCCTTCTAGGGCCAGGGTGATGACTCGTACTCGGGATCCCTGGGTTTGGAAATTCTGCCCATACTCTTGCACGTAGGTGAGGACTTGCAGCAGGAAAAATCTCAGTTTCTGGGAGTCCCCATTGAATTTTACTCCCGGGGGCGGGACCTTCCTTTACAGTTGTATTTCTCTGGGTTGGCCAGGGTTAATCCCCTGTTCTTGAGCATTTAGGGGTCAGGTACCTGGTATAGCTGCTCATTCTTCAGCTTTTCCTGCTGCCCGATCATTCTCAGCTGAATCCTGGGTGGCGGCTCGGGTTCTCTCATTTTCTGGTTCCCTTGCTCTCCTGCATTGGCGTCCTAGTGCATCCCTCACCTTGAGATTCTCCAGGGCTTCCTTCATGAGGCAGTTTATGTACTGTCTCAGTCAGTCATCGGCCGGTGGCTCCTCGCCCCATTCTTCCTGATCCAATAGGGCCTCCACCTCCAATTTCCATCTGGGTTTACAAGTGCCCTGGGTGAGGGTTACTCCCCTGGTTCTTCCATTCCAGCTGTCTCTCTTTCCGATGCCTATAGACCACTGGAGTTTTGTGGAGGTTTCATAGGCAGCTTCGCTATCTTCTTTTTTTTTTAAAAAAAACAAGTTTTATTGATTTTACAAACAAACAAACAAGACAAAACATCATTAAACATTAAAAACATAAAACCTCTTTCCATTGTAGATCCTTACAAGGCAGATAACATATTGCTTTATATCACATACTTATAATTTATCCCATTTCCATATAAACACGTAAATTCCCTTTACCAAATTCCACATTGTTTCTCTTTAATCATTATTCAATCATATTTCCTTTCTGATTTATCTGCTATCCAGTCATCAACTTTATATTTCCCTCTGGCTTGTTTATAATTATTCTCATCTAGTCTTCTTCCGAGATTTTATTATTTAATTCTTAATTAAACACACACACATAAAACACAGACATAAAAAACATAAAGCTTTCTTCTAGAAAGTAACTTAGCCCCAGATTACCTCTTTTTGTATGGACTCAGTTGTATTCACGCTTTTCTTATATACCATTACCCATCTTATTTACCATTCTATATCTATTATATAACTCCTCTCCACTTTTGCCTCATCTTAATTCTGTTTTATATATTTAATCTTGCTTTTTTTAAAAAAAATATTTTTATATCTTTTGTCCATTTCTCCATTTACATCTGTCTCATTTCCAATTTAAGAAAGAATAGTTTCCCCTGGAATCACTAATCGGAGTATGATGCCTTTCTATCATTCCCCTAAGTTAAAATTTAAAATAAGACCTAAATCCCAATCAGATTCTGCTTAGTACATTCTACTATTTCAAAAACCAATACTACAATAATAAATCCATAACAATCAACACATTAATCCATTAAACTCTATATTCAAACTAATATTTTAAACATTCCCTTTAGTATTTTATTAAAACTTATTATCATTCATTATTAAACCTTTTAAAGTTATACCTTGATATTTTAGCCTTTTATTAGATCTTAAAAAGTTCTGGTTATCTACTTATAATACAAATACCACTATTACAATACTCATGTGTACTTTGCAGAATCCCCCCCCTTTTTTAAAAAAAAACCCATATATTACCCATTATCCCTGAAAAATTTTTCCTTATCTCCATCTTGTCTTATATCTTTGTAACTTTTTTCCCCCTTTTCCCTTTCCTTCTTAGCCCGCCTAAACTTTTTACCCCCTCCTCTCAAAACCTCTGCCTTCTTAATTTCCCCTTTCTGCATTCCTCTTTCCTTTTGCTTTCTAGCATTCTGTTGTTTTTGCATCTTCTTTTTCTCTTTCATAAATATTTTTTTATTTCTTAAGTCCTTCCTTTTCTCTCCTCTCTTTCTCCTTTCTTTCTTAGTCACACCGTTTAGTTCATTAAAAATGGCTTCTTCTTCCTCGATTTCTTCCAGCTGTTGTTTAATTTGCTGACACATAGCAAGCGCCATATCTAGGAAACAAAGGGCTTCTCCCATAACATCTTTGCCTTCTTTCTTTGTTTTTAGATATTGTTTTTTTAGTTCATCAAGAGATAGAGCCATTTTAAAGTTTCTTCTTCTCTTTCTGTATCCTCTTCTTAAACCAATCAGTTATTTCAAGGCTTAAAACAGTTCCCAAAAGACCCAAAGTCCCACAGTCATCAAACAGTCCAGGCAGAGTAGAAGCTTCTTCTTTTTACAGTTTCTCTTCTAGGGGTGAAGTCAAATTAGGGAAAGAAAATTCTCTTTATCTTCAAGGCATCTCCTCCAGCAAAGTCTTAGAGTAAAAATTTGTTTTCCCAAGCCTCTCCCTTCCCACTTATAACAAAGGAGTTTAGGTTTTACCTTCTACCAAAAGGCTGGTTTCCCTTGTCCATTTGTTAATTCCATAGGGGAGGGAGAGTAACTTCCCCTTTTCGTCACTTTTCTTCGCAGCTGAAAACATCAATCGGGAACAATAGCTTCCAAGTCATTACTTTCCCAGGTGTTAAATATATCCTTAAGGTCCCAGTTCAACCAAGAAAAAACTTTCTTTAAAAAAAAAAAAAGAAAACTCCTTCCCCCTCCTGCGCATTCTTTATCCAATTGCCGGCTTCTTTATGGTGGCCATAAAAAGACCACTGCTGGAACCGTCTTGAGAAAAGGGGGTTATTGCCGGCTGGGGGGGGGGTTGCGATGCTCCTCA